ATCAGAGCTCATTGGTAGACTCCTCTCTCTTCAAATGACCACCCAAACATCAATTCTAAAACCCGATTTACATAAGATCATAAGATTTAGAGCTTAATGGAACCTTAAAGGTCATAGAGTGCACCCTTTTCATTTTACAAATGAAGAAACTAAGGTCTAAGATTGTTACATGACTTGCCCAAAGTCTGTGACAGAGATGGAATTCAGACCTGGTTTTCTTACTCTAGATCTAGTTTCATTGGTATGCCTTTTCTACATTACATCACTGAAAGTTAAATGGAAAGTAAGAGTCCAACCGAAATATCATCTTTTGTTAGAAGGTGATAGCCATTTTTTGTTCACATGCATTCAGGAGACCTAGGTTGTAATTGCAGCTCTGCCACATATTAGCTGTCATCTTAGGCAATTCCCTTCTCTACTCTGGGTCTCAGTTCCCTCATCTGTGGAATGAAGGAATTGGATTAGATCAGAAATTCTTAATGTGGGGCAAACAAAATTCTAAGAGGGTCCAAGGATAGATTTCTTGGGGGGGGTCAGTTAATTTGGATGGGAAAATTTTATGATAACTATAAAAAAACTGATAAAATTTTGATAACTTCAACATAAATAATTTCCTTTATAATACTATGCATTTTTACGCACTGAAAAACATTATTCTGAGAAAGGATTGATAGACTGATAAGGGATTCATGACACGAAAAAGGTTAAGAAATTCTGAACTTTAGGGTCCCTTTCAGCTCTAGATTTATGATCCTATGAAGTCTTAAGCACAGTAAAGTACCGGATGCTCTTCTGTAGTCCTGAGAGAGCAAACTTATGGAATAGACTCTCTTCAAAGTTTTGACACAGGCGTGATATTTTCCTTAGGAATGCTTTTCATCAGAAATCTTTTCTATTTCATTAAATGTTCATTCCCCTTGCTTCCCCCATAGTTTTTCTGGGTAAGTTGTACTTGGTTATGTGGGATAAGTTTTCTTGGCTGTAAGTCTGTATCCTTTGCTTTCTGTAATATTATATTCCAGACTCTCTACTCCTTTACAGAAGTGGCTGCTAAATTATGTCTGATCCTGACTATGGCTACTTGATAGTTGAATTCTTGCTTTCCAGGTGCTTGAAGTATTTTTTTTTTAGTTTGACTAGAAGTTCTGGATTTTGGCTAAAATGGTTTTGAGGTTTCTTTTAGGAGATGACTAGTGCATTCCTTCTTTACCCTATGTTTCTAAGGAATCTGGACAGTTTTCTTTTTTCTTTTCTTTCTTTTTTTCTTTTTTTTTTTTGTCATGGCTTTCAGTAATTTTTAAATTTTTTCTCCTTGACCTGTTTTCCAGGTCAGTTATTTTTGCTATTGAGATACCTTACATTTTTTTCAACTTTTTTTAGACCTTTTGATTTTGTATTAATATTTCTGAATGTCTCATGGAGTCATTGGTTTAAACTTGGTCCATTCTAATTTTCCAGGAATTTGTTTCTTAAGTACGCTTTTGTGACTCTTGTGACAAACTATTAATTCTTTTCCCAATTCTTTCTCCATAACTCTCATTTTTAAAAAATTTTTTCCTCTAATGCTCTCATTTTATTTATAAAAACATTTTTAAACTCTTTTAAAACTCTTGCTTTAGCTCTTGCAGGAATTCTAGTTGAATATGCGACCAAGCTTTGTTTTTCTTTGAGGCTTTGCTTGTAGTTGCTTTCAAGTATTATTTTTTTTTCTTTTGGGTTTGTGCCTTGAGTGTCCCTGTCTCTGTTTTATGTTGAGATTCCTTTTTTTTTTTGCTTGCTTGCTCATTCTTCTAGCCTACTTCCTGACTTCAGACTCGATACTAGGGCTAGTCTCTGCACACTTCTGGAGGGAAGGTCTGGACTTATCCTGTTGTTGCTTTCTAGAGGTATTGAGTGTTGTATCATCCTAGGATCTCAGGAACATCCTGAAAGCTTCCAGTATCCCAAAGTGGTCTGAATCAGGGAAAAGTTTAATTGCTTTCCCCCTGGTTTGTGCTCAGCCGGATTCTGGCCTGAGTTTGGGTGTGAGCAATAGTAAATGGCTGCTAGAGTCAGCCACTATCGTTCAGCTGGAAGACTCAGCTGGTGCAGAATAATAGAACTGTAGTTCACTAATGGTCTGTGGTTTCTGTTCTTCTTTCTTCTTCATATTCCAGACTAGTCTGAAAGCTGAAACTCAGACCCTGCTCTACTCTTTTTTTTTTTTTAGTGAGGCAATTGGGGTTGAGTGACTTGCCCAAGGTCACACAGCTAGTACGTGTCAAGTGTTTGGTCTGAGGCCGGATTTGAACTCAGGTCCTCCTGACTTCAGGGCCAGTGCTCTATCCACTGCGCCACCTAGCTGCCCCCCTGCTCTACTCTTGGGATCTGAGAAACCAACTGCTACTTACTTCAGAACTTGTTCCTTGATAGATTCACAGCCCACAAGCTGCGGACACTCCTTACCGTGGAACCGCTCACATAGATGCAGTTCCCCTCGTTGGTTGGCCAGGGATCTGTGACTTAGAACTGGGTAGTGGGTGACAAAGCTGCCAGGTGGCACCTCTTCCTGCACCCCGTGCTCAGCGGTGCAGTGTGTGATGGGTCTCCTGCTTGCCCCAGTTCACATTCTCTCCCTGGACTCAAGCCCCCAGTCTGCAGCCCAGTCCCTAGTGTATGCAGCCCCTCTTAGTCTGTCTTCCTATGCTGAGCTGGACTGGAAAAATTACAGCGACTTTTCCTTGTATTTCACCATCAGGATTCCCTCTTGTTTTTTCAAAATCTATTTGGAGAAGAGGTTTGTTTTTTTTTTCTTTTGGGGGGGGAGTTTGGAGAAAATCTGCTGTCTTATGGAATAGATCCTTGTTCCATAGCATTTAACCTACTTGAGCCTTCTGGAATCCTGACCTGGCTGTGAGGAATGGAAAAAAAGAAAGTGACAAAAAATTTTATAGCACAGGTTTCATTTCTCAAATTCAAGATTCGTCTTCAGGCCAATAATTTTATCATTATTGTATTTTCCTCCATCATTTAAACTGTCTTCTTTCTTGCTCTTATTATATATTTCTTGAATAGAACTTACGTATTCCTACTTTTTTTTGGATTCACCTTGCCTTTAGAGGCAGCTGGTAAGATAGTAAATAGAGTACCAGGCCCAGAGTCAGGAAGACCTGAGTTCAGAATACAGCCTTAGACATTTGCTTGCTGTTTGACACTAAGTTACTTACCTTCTATTTAAGTCACTTAATCTTCTGTTTGGAGAAACTTCAGTTTCTGCAAATGTAAAATGGAGATAATAATAGCACCTACCTCTCAGTGTTGTATTTAATGATATATTTGCAAAAAGCACTTAGCACAGAGCCTAGCACCTAATAAGCACTATAGAAATTCTTATTTTCTTCACTCATTCACCATATAAGCTCCTAAAAGACTGTACAAATTCTTAGGCTCCTCACATATGTTCTAGAATGCTTAACATAGTACATTTGTTCAGAGTAGAAATTCATTGATAGTGATTGAAGTATTATTTTTAGAAAGTAAGGGAGCAGAGAAATGAAATAAATGGAGTTCTGTAAGTGTTTCATAAAAGGGAGGTGAGGAAAATCAGAGACTAACCAGAAAATTCTACCCATAAATCTGATTAAAAGAAACCATGTTTGGGACTGGCTCCATGGAAAGTTAGTGAAGCAGCCTCCAAAGTTTACAGATAATTAGTGTTTGAATATATCAAGATTCATCTCTTCCTTTTATTTCAGTTAATCTGAAAAAGCACCATGCACTTCAATTTAAGATCAAGTCACTTGAATAAGATCTCTTTTAAAATCAATTTCTTGTCTGCTCTTAGGAATCCTCTGCCATCCTCCCTTCATATTATGCCATTTAGATAACATCCATAGACTATATTATCTTTTCCTCTCTTCTTAGGGAGATCAGTCAAAGCTATAAATTCACTGTATATAAAATGTTTATGAATATTTTAAGGTGAAAATGACCAATGAATGTGATCTGAAATTCTTTCAAACAAATTGGCAATACACAACACCTTTAGGATCATTAGCCTGAGTTAGGAAATCTCTTATAATACTACATGCCTTATTATTACCATAATTTAGTGTTTTTGACATATATTAGATACTGTCTTGAGTGTATAGATCATATGAATGTCCTAGAGAGATATGTACTTTGTTAACAGATGCTATCTTAATAGTCATGCCACTTTGCCTCTGCTGCTTTGCCTGGTTTCAATTCCAGGGAAAAAGATGCTTCTTCCACTTCTAAACTCACCACTATGTTGCTTACTCAAGCCTTGATTAACATCACCTCCCTCAGTCTTCTCTCCTCTCTGATTAGAGAGCTGGACGATGGAATACCAAACTCCTCCCAGTGTCTGCCTTTATAGAGGGCAGAAACTGGATTTTCAATTCACTCCACTTTGCATCTGCTGCTCTTCCTGGTTCCATTTTCACAGAACAAGATGCTTCTGCTCTGGGTGCTCTCTGGTGTCCTGCTCCTTGTGCCCCTTCCACTTTCGTTCCTCCTTATATGTGTTCTCTCTCTCTTTAGATTGTAAGCTTCTTGAGGGTAAGGACTGTTTTTTATTAATTGTAGCCCAGTGCTTAGCACAGTGTCTGGTACATAGTAGGTGCTTAATAAATGTTTATTGGATCAGATTGGACCTTGGATGGGATTGAGATGATCTTGGGCTCTAGTTGTTAAAAAGCACTGGACGCAAAAAAGAAAAGAAAATGTAAAGATGAAACAGAATTGACCATCTCTAAGCTATATGAGTAACTGACTTTGCTTTAAAACTAGAGGTCAGAGTTCAGTAGAGGGGCTAAGATACTGCTGTTAATTCACAAGGTGATGGGAAAGACAAAGGGAAGAGAAATCACAGGGACTTCTGGACTTAGCTATGACGTCTCCCACTGTTGCCTGCTTCACTGTTGCCTTTGATCCTTTAAAACAGTAAAAAGTTTCTATGACAGGCATTTCTTTTAACTTTTATTTATTTTGTCTTTTAGGTAGACAAAAAAATAATTCGAACTGAAATAGGAGTCCTTCTTCGCCTTTCACATCCAAACATCGTAAGTGATTTTCCACCCTTGTAATTTGAATTATTTCCAGAGCCTAAGTATAGATTTGCCCTGCACCTTCTGTTAATGAAGGGGATTAGGAGTCTATTTGTGGCAGGCCTAGTCCAGCTATTTTCTTTTTTTGACCACATTTATGACTGATACAAAATCGGTGACTGAAACAGACTTATAATAATTCATGGTGGTAAATATGACTCAAACTAGCAGATCAGCTACAGAAGTTCATTCATTTCAAGTACAAATTTCATGCCTTAAATTATTGTCCAAGATGGATAACATGTTGCCATCTAATCACTGAGCATTTAGTGAGTGTGTTTTTTTCTTCTTCTAGGAACCACTCCATTTCTCTAGATCCATAGATCCCGAAACCCTGAACAGACACCCCCATCCTCCCCACCTGTCCTTTATACTCTTTTATAATTAGAAATCTTCAAGTCTACTTTATATTGAAATTTTTAATTTCCAAAGTGCCTTGAAAAATCATTCCTAACTTCAGATTGAATGCTGAATAGTTGAAGCAGTCAGTGCACCATGTTAAGTATTGGGGACACAGACAAAAAAAACCCAACCACATACACCTGAAAGATCTACTCACCTTTTGGGGGTGATATAATGGAAAGAACATTGGACTGAGAATAAAAGAACATGAGTTCTAGTTCTAGATCTGCTCCTAACTAGCCTTAGTTTATTCACCTGTGAAATAAGTGGGTTAGATTAAATTACTTTTGAGATCTATTTCTATTTCTAACACATTATAGTTTTGTGATGACTATATTTAGTGTACAGAAACTGTGTACACAATAAAATGCTATATAAATGTAAGTAAATATTATTATTGTTATCTTTTTAATCTTTTTTCCCCACTGGATTTAAGATAGAAATGACCCTGGGACAAATAGTTATCCTTCTATTATTTTGTTATATTCATTTTTTTCTATAGCCTATTACACTGGTAGATGAAGAAAATTAAATTAACACTACTTTGATTCTATATTGCTTTAATTTTTTATTGTAATTGAATCTGCATATGCCTAAAGTTACCTTTCTATGTTCTTGAGTTGACTTCAAGAATTTAGCTTGCCCTCTGCTAGTTTAAAACAATAGTTAAAAGAAAAGTTGTTATCTCTCATACTAGTAGCCCCTGGGATACCTTCAGGACATTTTTTTTTTTGTTATCTTTATGCCTCACAAGTTGACTTGGTACCACCCCCAAAAGATATAGCATCTATCCTTGCCTATCCTTGTACAATTCATGGAGTTTTTATGTCTTCCAAGAAGACAGCAAGTCTGTGAGTTATGATCCCCTGGCAAAGATCACCAGATGTGAGTGGATCCCATAAAACAATTATTGTTCCTTAATTGTCAAAGAGGGGCATAATGTGAATGCCAGCTCACCTTTCTTAGTATAGCCAATCAAAATATTCCTGCCCCAAACTTACAACTTACCACTTTTTTCTCCATGCCTACCAAGACCCCTTCTTTGTTGTGCACCAATAAAGAGGGTGCTTTTCTTTTCACTGGGGTCATTAGCTTTACTGAGGTTGTCAGTCTGACTTACTTTGTTAACAGTTATATGCGTCACTGTTAATAAAATTATTTTGTTCAGAGCTCTGTACCTCAGTTTACCTTTATTAATTTTATTTGCCACATGAATAAGATATTTGCTTTTTGTTGAATAGAAGTATTAAGATATAAACTTATTTTCTGTAGAGTCATTGAAAGCATCATTTTTACAATTCCATATGATTTTTAGATCCTTCTCTCAGTTCTCTATACTTTGAAAGCTTTTTATTCCATGTGGTTTAGAGATTGTTAATATTATGAGTATATGGATTGGCTTCATTATTATCTCAAGTGAGCATCTGTCTAAGATAAAGTACTTACGAAGATTCACAGGATCACAGAATCTCAGAGTTGGAAGGAATGTCAGAAGCCATTGCGTCTAACTCCTACCTGAACCAGAATCCCCTCAATGGCATAACTGGCAAGTAGTCATCCAGCCTTTGTTTGAAGATCTCTAGTGAGGTGGGAGAGGCCCAGTATCTCCTGACATTAAAATGTCTCAGAATTGTGTTAAATTATGTCCATCCAAAGCACTGACTTAGACAGTTTGGTCAAAAGCTTTTTTGAATGCCTGTCTCTATGAGGCCAAAAATAATTTGTGCCATCAATATGCTGAAGATATTGCCATAAGGATTTCTCCTTCCCATGCTCTGAGAAAGCTGCGGAGCCTGAAATACCTGTGTGGAATGCTTAAGATTAATGGTTAAGTGCTTAAAGGCTAGTCATTGTTCTGAGCTATTCATTTACAAAGAGCTATCCATCCATCAATTTCTGGATATAAGCCAGGAAGCTGAGGGGGAAAATATTCCTTTAAGCTGATTTGATTATCTTAAAATAGGTCAATTTTCATTTTTTTTAAACAAACATTCTAGTTTGTCTCCAGTTGTATGACCACTGATTTTTTTCATTTTTAGTACATTTTCAGGCCATGATGTAAACAGAGATTTTGTTTAGTGTTTGTCCCTTCTACTCCCATTCCCCATTCACTCCACGCTCTCTGATTTCAAAGTAGGCTTTTGATTCCCTAAAATAACATGGCTTAGTATAGTTCAGAAATATCTTTCTAGAAGAGTTCTGAAACTGGATAGTTTGTTTAAATAAAGAGGACATCTGAGATCTGTGATCTTCAGTATGCCAGGTAAAAGCTTCTCTATGAAGATAAGAGGAAGAAAAGGTAATAAGCAATTAGTAAGCACATAGTATGTGCTTGGCTAACTACTTCTCAAATACTATCTCATTTAATTCTCACAACAACTCTGTGAGGTATGTGTTATTATTTGCATTTTACAGATGAAGAAACTGAGGCAGTTAGAGGTTAAGTGACCTCCCCAGGGTCACACAACTAGTATGTGTCTGAGATCAGACTTGAATTCCAGACGCAGTGGCAATATTCACTGTACCACCTTCCTACCTCTGATAAAAGTCAGAGGAGTTTGACTCTGTTTTGACCAACTTTATTGCAAGGGAGTGGCAAATGAATTCTTTGCAATAAAACTAAAAACCTCTGTTAACTTATCATTTACTACTATTTTGGTGTTGATGGAATGTTCCTTTAGTTTCAGTTAACTCCCCAGGATATAGTATTAGGAAAGGTGAAAATAATGAACTTGTGACTTTTTATGCTTCTCTGCAGATAAAACTAAAAGAGATATTTGAAACACAAGCAGAAATCAGCCTGGTTCTGGAATTGGTCACAGGAGGGGAACTGTTTGATAGGTGAGTGGTCTATGGAAGTCAATTCTCAGAAAAGTTTATATTTTGGACCACAAAAAAGCATCCAGGGAGAATTTCTTATGTTCATCCATCCATCCATCCATCCATACATCCATCCATCCATCCATTCATCCATCCATCCATCCATCCTTTCATCCAATATTTATTAAACATTAACTATGTACTGAAAAATCTAATAGAGGGATAAGGCACAAACACAGTGGTGACTCACAATAATATATAATCAGCTTATTAGAGAGGTGCAGAATAAAGATTTATGTGAGGTTTGTGTGGGAAGATTGTAGTAATAAGAAAAACATAGACTGTTTAGTTAATTTGCATATCATTTATTTGGAAAGTCCTCTAAAGAAAATTTTTTTTTTAAAAAGATATTTCTACTGAAATAAATTCTCACCAGGGAAAAGAATACCACGGAATAATTTGTCAATTGATAGACTCCTAAGAGAATGATTTAGTAGACCAAAATCTATGGAGCTTGGGCGATTAAAGAGAACATTATGACATCTAATTATACTGGCATATTATAACCAGCTTTATAGTTATGTACAAATGTTATTGCATCTCAGAGGAGAAAATGTAAGGTTAATTGTATCTTATGAGAAAAATGCTATATAATATAAGGAGAAGAACTAGTATTTACCAGTATTCTGTTTATTACAACTCTAATGCTGGATATTCCACTATCCATGGCACTTCCTTTAAATTGTTCAGTTAAGACTCAGTTTTTCTGTGCAGCAGCTTTCTCAGAGCCCTGATCTTGGGGGACTTCAAGTTACCCATTACAGTATATTATATAAATGACTAATTTTGTAAAGTTATGCTTTTTTTTTCCCAAGGGAAGCCGAGAGTTGAGAGTGGATATTGTCCCACAGAAATGTAAACCTAACTTAGCATATTGAAATCATGCATCTTGCCAGCAGAACTCTAACTCTGCCACTATATGAGAAAACAGCGTTACACATTGATTAAACATATTTTCTAACTATCTTTTTTTAGCTAATCCATAAAATTATCTCTAGCTTTTCCTGTACCTCCTATATAGTATTTTAAACACATGAACCAAGTGAATTCCTATAACATAGATATGTGTAATAGATAGATACATAGTCCTTTGTTTCACTTGTTTGTTTCTATTAAAGCCTGTCCACGTTCACATTTTCTCTTTTTATAAAAAGTAGAATAATTTTGGATATGTAGTAGGTAGCCAATTGATTAATTTTAATTAAGCTTTAATTAAATTTAATTAATCAATTATATTAATAAAATGTATTGAAAGTCAATACATATTAAAGCATTGATATTGTTATTTTTATAACTTAGCATTTAATGCTTATCTTACCATATCTTGCTTCCACCTTGTAGAACTTTTCTAGTTATGTAGTCCATGTCTTTTAGACATCTTAGAATCCAGATCTGAGAGCAAAAAGATAAATTGTAAGCTTCTGGAAGTGTATTTACTGTACATAGTAAAATGCCTTTCATGTTATAGGCACTTAATAAAGATTTGTTAATTTGAATTGAATAAACAGAATAAAAGTTTAGGTAATATTCTTTCTATAGCGATCATCTACTTCTCTACCTATCTGTTATGTAAGTTTATCTTTGCATCTGTTACCTATTTCTCTATTATCTGGGTCTATAAGACTCTTTGCTTATCAACGTCTGTCTGTTTCACTCTCGATCTAATCACTCATATCTGTTTCTATGCCTATCACCTATTCTTAGCTATAACAATATGGTAAAAAGAAGAAAGCATATTGGAAATGGAGTCAGAGAGCTCAAATTTCAGCTTTGCTACTTACTAAGCTATGTGATATTGGGTCACTCCAAGCCCCAATATCCTCATTTGTGAAATAAAGGGGTTGAACTAGATGATCTTTAAAGTGTCTTCCAGCATTAATGGATCCATTTCTATAAACATTTTCATCCATTTCTATAAACATTTTGTTAGAAACAATATTTTCATAGACTGGTTAGGGATATCTTAAGACTCCACACCATTGTAAATAGACTAATTTTTCCTTAAAGACAATTGAAACTATCTTTGAGATTTAATTGGCTCAGGGAACTAAGACCCAGTCCTTGATGTAGCTTCCTGGCCATCTATGCACAGAAAAGTCATGAAGAACTCTAGCTGGCTCCTGAGAATTTGGACCAGCAAGATTGTCAATATGACCACCATTGGATAACTAACCCTGGGAAGCTGTGTCCAGTAAAATCATCTATCCTTTCTTTCCCTGCTCTGAATGTCATTCCCCTACTATATCTAAGTAAATCTCCTTTTTATAACTCTTAGGTAAAATACTAAGTGTCTCATTTCATTCCGATCTTGTACTTGAGCCATCGGACTCTCTTGGTCAGCTCTAACCTACCATAATATCTATATAATATACGTCTGTCTGTGTATTCAGGAACATGTTTGCTTCAATGTATGCTAAAGGACCATAACTAGTTGGTTGTATTAGGGCATGGTTTAAGGTCAGCTTCACATAAAAAAGGAAAAGAAAAGGGGTTTTGTTAAATCCAATGTTTCCAAGTTTATCAATTTTCATATAGAATGACCCCTTAATATTTTAATGAAAGACATTTAAAGATTGGCAGACAGCCAGTAAGCATTCAACAGAGCCTCTAAACTCAGTGGTTTTCAAGGGTGGGATTTTTTTCTCAAAAGAAAAATTTGCCAACAGTACCAGTAGAATCATGGACACTGAAAGAGACTTGGTTTCACTATTAAAAAACTGAATTTCTCAGTTATCTTAAAATTTTTCTTCAGGCTGAAACTGTTGTTGGATTAAGAATATAAGCTTGAAATTAAATTTTATTTAAATGAATTTTATCTAAAAACGAAGCTATGATTATTTGAATTTCCAATCTATTAGAGTGATTGTCTTCATTTTTATACTAACAATGATCCTGATCAATCCTTATTAAACATTTATGCATAATCACAATGATGCAGTCTAATATATGAAATGAAAAAAAAATTGTTCAGAAATGCTTTAAATGAAAACAAATTGCTTAAGAAGTCCAGGCAGATACCCAACTGAATAGCGTGCCAATATTAATTTCTTATTGCCCACATTTTAGCAAATGGACAGGGAATAACTCACCTAATTTGATTGTTTCTGTAAAAATATGACATTAGGAGAAAGAACATTATAGGGGGAAGTTACTTTTATAACTTTTATAACTTTTTAGTAAGGTTTGTTGGGTTTAGTTATAATGTAATAATATTAATGTGAAGTGATGTTGACTAGGGCCAAATTATGTGGAATTCGACTGTAAAGTTTGTTGTTTCAGTTAACATGGGAGCTTTCAAGGGGTCCATAGAGTACTGTTATCCTCTCTCTTTCTGTAGCAGGAAAGATAACCTGTCATAATGGATAGAGTGCTGGATTTGGAGTCAGGAAGGTCTGAGCTCAAATCTCCCTTCTGACACACACTAGTGTGTGTAACAATAGACAAGTCTCTGAACATATAAGCCTCAGTTTCTTAATCTGCAAAAACAATGACAATAGCTGAGTGTGTTGTTTCATGCCTGCATAATCCCTGTTACTAGAGAGGCTGATGGGTAGATTGTTCCAACACAGGAGTTCTAATCTGTAGTGGGCTAAGATAATTGGCTATTAGCACTTTCCCTGACATCAATATGGTAGGCCCCTGGGAGCAGGGGGCTAGCAGGAGCAAATTAAGAAAGAGCAAATTGTTCCAGGTCAGAAATGGAGCAGGTCAAAACTTCTGAGCTTATTAGAAATGGGACTGGGCCCTCGGGGCCACTGCATTTCCAGCCTGGGTGAGATAGGGAGACCCAGTCTCCAAAAAAAAAAAAAAAAAGCAAGAAAGAAAGAAAAAAGAAAAATGACATAATAAAATAACACCTGTAGTACTTACTTCAAAGAATTATTGTGAAGCTCAAGTGAAATAATATGTGTTTGAAAGCATGTTGCAAATGTTAAAACACTAAATATATGTCAATGATTATCATATAGAAAGTGAAGGAATTGTCTCAGTTGCCAACTCTGCATATGTTAAAAGCATGCTGATATTCCTGATTAAAGACTCAAGGAATACTTTTTTATTCATTGGATTTCTTCCAAAGAATGAAAATTTCCTAGAGATGAAAAGCACTAAGAAGCAAGTCAAGAAGAGAAAGATGATGAGAAGAAACTTTTCTAACTGGAAGAACTGAAAAAAAGAGAAGGGTTTGAAATGCTGACCAACAAGAACTGTATGCTAACAATGAGACTTTTTATAAGGATAGATCTGGACTCTCTAAGGAAGAAACATGATTTTATATACCATGGAAATAGAAGGTGGAGTCATTGCTGGTTCCAACAGGCTCAAAAAATATGTTAATGATTTTAAGAGGAAGAGGTACATGAATTTGGTTGGTGACACCCTTCTGAGGCTAAGGATGTGGCCATCTCTAGGTATCACGGTCAGACAGATGTGCGACTTTCCTGGACTGCATACCATGAAGATCATGCAAAAGCTGCTGAGTCACTAAAACTGTCAGTCAAAATTTTTGGCTGATTCATTTGGAATCAAATCTAAATAACAAAGGCAGAAGCAAGTGCTAATGGGCTGTGTGTCAGAATTAGGGTCCAAAAATATCTCAACAGGCTGGAATTAGATTGCTAATACAATAGGATAGTATTTAATAAAGTTAAATACAAGATCCTACACTTAATGAAGTATAGGCTCAAGGAGCCATTGCCTAACAGCTACTTGTATGAAAACAGGTGGAGGGGTTTTAGTTGACTGTAAGCTTAACAGGAGTCGTTGGTATGAGTTAGCTAACACATAGGCTGCATAGAAATATAGCATCCAAAACAAAGAACATGATCTGTTTATCCATTTCATTCTCTGCTGGTCAGATCCTCCATAGAATATTTTGAGAGGATAAGGAGGCATTGATAAACTAGAGCAGAGGTGTCAAACTCCTGGTGGAGCCATGCTGCCTGCAAAACTCGCATGCTGCT